TTTCACATCATTTATTTAAATTTGATTACATACAATTTTTTAATTCTTTTACAATTTTATAGTTCACATTTTGGATCTGTTAAATGGGTCAGAATGACATGAAACAATATCATCTTTGTACAGAGACAATTTTTCATCATGTATGAGGCTTTGCCAAATCTCAATTGCCTCAGACAAAGATATTGCCTGTATGCAACTACAGCAAACACAATAATTTAGATAATAATTATGTAAATAGTTAACGATGCCATGGGGCCATAAAAAAGTAGTTGTAATATATTTATTATAATTACTGACTTAAGCTACTAACTTAACTTTATCTAATACAACACCAACAATTTTCAGTTGTGCATGTAAATTTATTTCTACTATCTGTATTGACAGATTGTCAATTAGGCTTTCTATGGAAGGATCAATGGACTCCATATGCTCACCTCTAATGTCAACATACAGGGAATGATTAGAAATGAATGTTTGTAAACAGTCTAATTGGGAGTTCCAGCAGGTATTATTATATCAGTCCGCCTTTTTCCAATATCCATTCTTATAGTCATTTAAGAAAATTTAACAATAGGATATTTAAAAATAATTTCATTGAAAAAAAGCTAGGATCTCTTTTGCCATAATTATATTGCCTATATCATTATGACAGCTCTTTCCATAGCATTGTATCACAGAATATGACCAATAAGTTAATAACAATCTAGACTTCAGTACATATGTATGGTTGGTGATAATTACAAAATATTTACGAATTGCTATAATATACTTTACTTTACACTTCGGGAGAGACATCCTTTTAAACCAAATTTTAAAAATGAGTAAAGCAACCATATGTTATCAGCTTAGGGCCTCCAGCCTGCAAAAGTTTTCTCATTTTAGAAATTTTATTTTTGTTTACTACAAATACCTAAAAAGGAAATTATATATACATTTATTTTATTATATGTACCAGATTATTTTACGTGTAGGGATTTTCTGGTACGCGTACGGTTTAATCTGGTACAACCCATCCTATAGCATAAATGCCACCACAAATATAGGAAAAAGCTTTTTAAACTTGATTGTCAAATATTTTCCAATTAACAACAGACTAAACAAAATTTTTAACAAAAACACAGTAAAAATCAGCTACAGTTGCATGCCAAACATAAAATCAATAATAAATTTACACAACAAGCACATCCTAAACAAAAATCTAACCATTAATAAAGATAAATGCAACTGCCTTAATAAAAACTATTGTCCTTTACACAATAACTGCTTGACCAACAACATTGTATACCAAGCAACCATCACTTCGGATAACCCTTTAATAAAAAAATCATACATTGGCATTTGTAAAACATCTTTCAAACTGAGATATGCTAACCATTTGAAATCGTTTAATATCCCCAAGTATAGAAACGATACAGAGCTGTCAAAGGAGGTTTGGAACTTAAAAGATAATGATAAAAATCCTGTGATCAATTGGAAAATAATTAGAAGATGTGAAGCATATAACCTGACAACAAAATCGTGCAAATTATGCCTTAATGAAAAATATGAAATCATTTCAAATAATGACAATAGTTTATTAAATAAAATGACTGAAATTATATCAAAATGTCGGCATAGAAATAAATTCCTTCTTTGTCAATTCGACACAGGCTAAAGGTAGACTTCGCGTAGTCAATGTTTTGACGTCAGATCCCATTGCATTGCTTAATTTGTATTTTAAACGATTTTTTAATTTCTTGGTTTAAAAAAATATATATGGCTGATGATTGCTGCCAGGCATGAAACTCTGAGTACCAAAAAAAAGTTGTATTTTTTTCATTTAAATACTAAATAATTATATATATATATATATATATATATATATATATATATATATATATATATATATATATATATATATATATATATATATATATATATATATATATATACACCTTGACAAACAAGGCCGAAGAAACAAGTTGATATATATATATATATATATATATATATATATATATATATATATATATATATATATACACACTTTAAATAAAACAGCTAAACATCTAACACTTACATCTATATTGAATCTTTAGCAATTTTAATTGCATCCTTAGCAGCCTGAGTGCAAAATTCTGCTGTTTTTGATTGGCTTCCAATATCAACTACAGAAATGAGATAGGGCCTACATCCATTATGGATACTATGAGCAATTATAGGATGATTACTGAATGTACTTAAACCATCTTGAATAAAGGTAACAGCACAATCATCAGCAAGATCATTTTTCATAAAATTAATTTAAATCTTTATTTACCTATACTAAGAGTTCTGTTTTTATATGGTGGCTCATATCCAACTTGCTAATCCAGTTCATCCTTCTGATTACTTGTTGCTGGAGTTACAAATTCAGAAATAGATGATTTTCATTGCATCATCATTGCAGTTGACTAAACAATTGGCTAATAAAGTCTAAATGATCTTGCTCATTATCTTCTGACTTATTTGATGCTGCAGATGTAGATGGATTAGACTCTGATAAAGTTGATATACCATTAAATACTTCAGTTGAATCATTACCACTTAATTTTTAATTTTTTCTGCATTTATCCAAATGAATCTCAACTCTCTTTATTTTTTTAATTATGCACTCTTTGTAAAAAATATCTTTATTCCTTCCCCCTGAATGATACTTTGGCATATTAAAGATGTATAATCTACTTTAAATTTAACATAATAAGATAACGTTATTTAAAAATATTAGAAAAAAATGCAATCTGACTATCAATTAAACTATTGCTTAGGACCTGTACATTTAATATCTGTAGAAAATAAAAAATAACTTTTAAATAACTATAAATTAGTCAAACTTTGTAACTAAAGACTTGTACCAAACTTTAGTAAAAAACCCAACAACCCACCCGAAAACCCAGTTGGGTTGGATTTTTGCTTAAAAATCCGGGTTTTTGCTAACCCTGCTTGAAAGATTGTAGGCTGTATGAGTCATGAAAAATTAAGTTAACAGAGAGTTCCAAAGGGTTGAAGTGCTGGAATAACGAGTCAAGTAAGAATGAGTTTAGTTGATAGAACTAGAGATATAACTTCTCTGAGCTACCATCATGATTGAGCTACCATCATGATTGAGCTACCACCATGATTGAGCTACCATCATGATTGAGCTACCATCATGATTGAGCTACCATCATGATAGTATTTGTAGAAAAGAGAAAGAGATCCAATTTTATGACAATGGAAAAGAAGCTCAAGCTTGGTAGATGGAGCAGGTCCAACTATGTTTACAAAGCGTTTTTGGACTTTGTTTAGAAGTGAAATAGCATGATTAGAACCAGCCCAAATATGACAACAGTGTTATATAAAGGGGTGAATAAGAGATTTGTAGATGTATAGAATGAAATCAGGAGTAAGAAAACGGTGAGCATGAAAAAGAGAAGCAACCTTAGTAGATACTAACTTAGCAATCAATAGTATAAATGGTTTCCATGAGAGGTCAGTAGTGAACAAAAATCCAAGAATGTCTGACATTAGTCAAATGTCTAACAATGGGTTAATCTGTTTAACTGGAATGGAAGGAAGAGTACGGGCATAACTTTCAAGAGTCAAATTAGAAGAAAATTTCTGTGCAAATAGTTTAGCTTTATTTTTGGGAGAGGAAATAAAATCAGTCCCATGAATAAGAGATGGAATGTTAGAGCTACCTTTGTTAATGACATTGAAGATTTTTTGTCTCTACACTTATTACACTACAAGTATTATTACATTACAAATCAATATAATACTTCAATATAACAATTGAATTTGATGGTCACAAATAAAACATAGACCTTTTTTTATAAAACTTTTCCTTTTTTTTCCTAAAGATTTTTCCCCATGTTTTGAACACACAACATACTTCCTCACTTACTTTAAAACGCTTTGAATTGCTGTGCAATTCAAAGCATTTTCAAACAAGACGCAGCTTCCTCTCCTGATTCCTTACCGTATGCAACTATTATAACTTATATCGAATTCACTCTACTTTTTCAAAAAGCCTCTATGCTTAACAATTTCCAAAAGTCTCTACACTCCATAGTTATAGATTAAACTAAAAAACTAATAAATCTAAACATGTTAGAAAGTTTGGATTAAACTTTTACACAAAGATTTTTTCAGATTTTTTTGCTGAATTTTCAAAATTTTACCAATTCAAGACTTTTTCAGATTTTTTTCAATTTTGGCAATGGCTACCATGAGAAGTTAACTCTGACTTATAATAATTCAATATTTATAATGAGAAAATACTAGAGATAGTGTCTCGATAAAAACTGATCTTGGATATAAAAAACATAAATAGCTACATGGGAATATAATTACATTTTAATTCACAAGTTGTGAGTTCAGTTTTTATGCACTTTTATTAGTACCATTTCATTCAATCATTTTCATTAAATAACTTCTTACTCAATTACCTTCTATTCAATCACCTTTACTTCAATCACATTTTATTCAATCTTTTTCTATGTTGTTTATTATTCTCCTTTTCCCCAAGATTGCAAAAATGCAATTGACCAATCAGATTTCTCTTTCAACCATCAAAAAAAATTATTATTATTATTAGTGACATTAATGTTCATCACTGAATAGCTTAGCTCTTTCTGAAAAGATTTTTGAAAAAAATATGCAAATATCAAACAGTCAAAAAACATGCAAATAAATTTGAATACCAAGTATTCGAATACTCAAGTTCTTGGCTCTAGCAAGACCCTGCTGACAATAAAACTAAAATCTTTTTTTTTAGCTGACACTAAAACTTTTTTTCACTAAATCTTTTTCCTTATTTTGTGTTTTATTCCTGACCCTGCTCGGTTTCTCTGCGTTCTTCTTTAGGTGGCTCAGACCTTTCACTAAAACCCACTATTTCCCCAATTTTTCTACAATAAGCCTATTATCACACTTCTTACAACTACCATAAGTTTGACTGGGATTCCTTTGGTAATTTTCACTGCAATTTTCTTAAAGCTAATGTCTTTCTGAGAAAATTGTGCCTTCAACATTATCTTTTGAATTTATGCAGGCTTGGAAGAATGTATCCCTTTTCATAGATTTTAATCTAGTATGACTCTACCCTAGAAAACCTTTACTACAAAATTTTCATCTATTTTGCGCAGCCAATGTATCTACCAATCGAACCTTACAGATGTATCTCTCAATGGAACCTTTTAATACTTCTGCAATGAGAATAAGGTATGGTGGATGAATAAGGTATGATGGATGAATAAGGTATGATGGATGAATAAGGTATGATGGGTGAATAAGGTATGATGGAGGAATATTGTATGATGGGTGAATAAGGTATGATGGATGAATATTGTATGATGGGTGAATAAGGTATGATGGATGAATATTGTATGATGGATTAATAAGGTATGATGAATGAATATGGTATGATGGATGAATATGGTATGATGGATGAATAAGGTATGATGAATGAATATAGTATGATGGATGAATAAGGTATGATGGATGAAAAAGGTATGATGGATGAATAAGGTATAATGGATGAATAAGGTATGATAGATGAATATTGTATGATGGATGAATATTGTATGATGGATGAATAAGGTATGATGGATGAATATTGTATGATGGATTAATAAGGTATGATGAATGAATATGGTATGATGGATGAATATGGTATGATGGATGAATAAGGTATGATGAATGAATATGGTATGATGGATGAATAAGGTATGATGGATGAATAAGGTATGATGGATGGATGGATGAATATGGTATGGATGGATGGTATGGATGGATGGATGGATGAATATAGTATGGATGGATGGTATGGATGGATGGATGGATGAATATGGTATGGAGAAAATAAACCTTTTGTTATTGATTACTCAACAAAATTCAATTTAAAAATGTATTTTTGAAAAAACTTTTTCACTGTATTAATTGTTATTAATGGTTTATAACCTACCTGATAATATCCATAAATATATAAAGTTGTATGCAGATTAAAGTAAAATAATAAATATTATATAATCAGTTAAATATCTTATAAAGCTGCAAGTACATCTAAATTATCTTATGGAATGGTCATCAATCTGGATAACAATAATAATGCAAGGTCATACATATTGCCAAAAAAAAAAAGATTCTCAAACCACTTATGTAATACATTATTCAGATACAAATCATGATTTTGACAGTAACTCATTTTGAAAACATTAGACGTTATTAAAAAGTGAACCTGCCTTTTATGTTTATATATCAATTTTTTTCTAATTTTCAAACTTAACTTCTCAAACTGTTTTATTTATTTATTTGTCTAACTTGATAATTTTCATTTTTTGACAAACTAAAACTTATAATAAATATCTTAATAACTTCATTCATATTGTCAAAAAAAAAAATATAACAAAAATACTTTTAAATTTTTTAGTTTCCATGAACAAAAAAACATTAGAAAATTATAGTAAATCACCAACCACGTGGATAACAGTAAATCTCCTGACAATTGGACGATGAATTTTCAGCTCATTAACTCTAACAGCCAAATGAACAATAATAAATTACCAAGCTAATGAATAACAGCTGGATGCAACCGCTGTTTTTAATATTAACCATGTTTACACCTAAATATATATATATATATATATATATATATATATATATATATATATATATATATATATAAATATATATGTATGTATATATATACATATATACAAATATATATATATAAATGTATATATATATATATATATATATATATATATATATATCATATATATATATATATACATATATATATATATATATATACATATATATACACATTTATACATATATATATATATATATATATATATATATATATATATATATATATATATATATATATATATATATACATATATATACACATTTATACATATATATATATATATATATATATATATATATATATATATATATATATATATATATATATATATATATATATATATATATATAATTATTTTTAAGAACTCAAAAAATATATAAATATTCATTAAAAATAACAGTAAAACTAATACTTGAAACAAACACTTGAAATCTTGGAAAATTTTGAAATACAAATTCATCATGATAAGGAACATACTTTGAGTTGAGTAGATGCAGAACAAAAATTAATTACATAAATAAAATCAAGAAATGTGTTTAGATTATATATATATCTATAGAAAAAATAACATTAATATAGTTATAAATTATTTTAGCAACCAAATAACGACACAAATTAAATATAAGAGAAGGCATTCCAGAAAGTTCCAGAAAATGTCAATAAATTTTTACAACAGTAAAACCTTATATGAAATAAAAAAGTTATTGAGTTTATCTAGAACTCAAACATTTTACATAAATTTTTGTTGAATTTTACTGGGGAAAAAAAACATAGTACTAATAACTTAGTAAATAATATATATAAAATAAAATAGTAAATATAACTTATTTGGTAAAAAACAAAAAATATGAAAGCAACAAAAAACCAAAACTATATTGTTTTCACTACTTGACTGAAATCAAAACAGTTAAAAATCTTTAGCATTTAATAATACATAATTTATACATTATGCAAATCATATGAATAATTTTTTTTTAAAGAAAAGAACTTGATTTTTTAAAGTTGCACTAGAACTGGAGACTATTTTATTACATAACAACTGTAGACCATTTTCCACAAACAACTTTAAATAAAGACTTTTGGCATAAACTTTCGACAAGTTGTGGTTTCAATTTGTTAAGAAAATCCCCATGCATTAATTGTCCATAACCATTCCAACCCCAAGAAAATAATAAACCATTACTAGATACAGCAGATGAATGTCTTGAGCCAGCTGATACTGAGATAAATGTTTGCTCAATGGGTGTGTCAACCAATGAAGGAGAAAATAAAAGTTTAGGAAAGCTTAAAATTTCTTCCTCAGATTCATCCGAATCTTCTTTGATAACACCTATTTGTCCACTTTCATTCCAACCCCAACCATATAAATCCCCAGAATCTAAAAAGTTTTATATAGTAAAAAAAAAAAGAAACACAACTTGAAAATAATTATTTGGATTAATTAAATTAAAGTAGGTTAATTTAAACTGATGTTAGTTCAGTTAAGTTAATAATTGACTCTAAATTGATACCTTGAAACATAAAAGCAAAGAACAAGAATAATAACTTTGAAAAAATTAGACTACCTGAAATAACCAAACAATGCCAACCACCTGCTGCTATATCTTTCACTTTAAGAGGTTCTAAAAGATCAACTTTAGTCAAAATATCAGCTGAATCAACAACACCAAGACCCAGTTGGCCTCGCCAGCCTCCACCTATTGTATAAACTATGCCATTATTAGTTAAAGCAATGCCATGTTCTCGCCCACAACATATCTTTTTAATTGTAGAAACAGACTCAAGCAATAAAAGATTTTCTTCAGCAAGTAGAAACCTAAAAAAAAAGAAAACTACAATTTCAAAAAATACAAAACTGAAATATTACCTAAATAATAGAAATGTTAGCTTGCAAGATTTATTTACTTTATTCAATATTATTGAATAAAGTAAATAAAACTAAAATGTGACATGCTACATTTAAAATAACAATGCACACTGCATTTAAAAATAATAGTACAATAGCCCTAAGAATTAGGGTGGGCATTCAACAACTCCAACCTAACTGCTGACTTAAAAGTGCTTGAGGTCAGCAAAAATTGCTGAATTTGTTTCTATATTTTATGGCAAAACCTTTGTCAAATTTTTTTGCTAAACTGTTGCCGAGATCTAACAGTTTAAAGTCGGCAATAAATTACTGGCCTCATTTTTTTTAATTCCGAGGGGTGGTACAGAATGTTAATTCTGAAAAAGTATTAAATATGTTAGAAAACAAATTTATAAGTAAACCTTACTTAGCTTCACAGATGATATTTTTGCACTGGTAAACCTTTCCATCATGGGTAAGTACCAAAGCAATGGTTTTACCAATAGATAGACTACTTATTTTAAAGCAAGTATGAATAGCATCATAGGTTCCATCACATTCTGAGTAAATTTTTATAACTTGTTTTCCATAAAGATCACAAACAATAAATAAAGTATCCCTAAACCATTCTAACACATTATAGCTTATTCCAGGCTCATCACATATGATAGAGGTGATCTTAGAGTTTAATTCGTACTGAAGCAATAAGTGCTTTTTGGTGAAATATATATGGCTTGAAGTAGGAAGAACAAGCTCTTCTAACAAATCGCAAATCAATTCGGGCACTGATTGAGATTGCATTGAACGTAAACTTAAATCATCTTTAATTACTACATCTTCATGATAAACAGTCCTACCTACAAACCCACTAAAATACATGAGGCTGCTTATTTAACTTTTCTCAAAAATTTTATTATAAAAACTTTAAAAATAAAAGAAAATTGAGAAACACGGAGAAATATTTTTAACAACCGAAAAACATTATAGATAACATGTTATAAAAGTAATTACTTGAACATGTTATATACCAATAAATTTTAAAATGTATTTATAAAACCTATATTTGAATTAAAAAATTTTGGAGAATTAATTTAATTACAGAAGTTTAAATGTGAACTTAAAATGATTTTAAATTTATTATTCAGTTTTATTTAATTTATTATTAAATTTAAATTATTTATTCAGAGAATTGTTTGTTTTCTTGGATAAGAAATTGCATCTTAACATAAACAACTTGAAACTAAACTCTAAATCAATGTATGTAGTGAAGCCCTAGCAGATATTTCAGTATGTTATTTCATGCATAGTGAAGTATGCAAAGATATGCGTGTGTGTGTGTTTGTGTGTGTGTGTGTCTATTTTAGACTTCTAACAGCTGATTTTTAATAAATTTTTAAATTAAATTCAAAACCTTTTTAAGTCAAACCTAGGGTTTTAAACCTTTGTTTATGACTTGGTGATGGGGTAAAAAATACAAAAATTTAATAAATATTTCTTCTGTTTACAGTTGCAGCTTTTTCAGTACAAATATGTTATAAACCACAACAAAAAATAAAATGAGAAAAAAACAAAAAAAAAACAACTAAAAATTTTAGTAAAAAACGCTGAAAAAAAGCATTGACAAACAGTTGCACTGAAAACACTAAAAATTCTAATGATTGTTTACAGGTTAAAAAAAAATCATTTTCATGTTCGAGTAAAACTAATACAAAAATTCTAATTACTTAAATAATTTTTTTTACTTCTTTTTAAATGTTCTTTGCTTTTATCTTTTTACCAAAACTCTAGTATTGGTGAAATGGCTAAACCAATTTTAATTATTGGTGAAATTGTTTAACCATGGTTACCAACCATGATAACCAATGGCTAAACAAAAATTGTATCAAACTATTTTAAATCTAAAACCTAATAAAAATCAATTTTTCAAAATTCTTCCTAAGCGATAGTCATATGCATATCTGCAAAAAAAAACAATTGAAGGATCTATATCTGGGCTTGGAATTAAACGAGAGATTTTCTTATTTTCTGGAACGACTGATAACTTCTCTTTACACTTTGCTTTCCATAACTTATGTTGAGCTCGATATCTAAAAAAACACAATTTAATTAGATCAATTAAAGGATTTTAACAATTAAAATAATAAAATTTTATGATCAGCTAAGGATTAAATGGTATAAGCATGACTGATAATTTTTAATAATAATAAAAAAACTAAACATTAAATATTAATATTTGCAAAAATATACAAATAATTTAAATCAATACAAATAATTTAAATCAATACAAAAGAATGTAGCAAAATTTAAAAACAAATAAACAAAAATAACAATGTAAATATCCATCCATTATTTTTTAAATGTTAACCCGTTAACAGTCCATGCAGTAATATTACGCAAACTAAAAGTGGTTTCTAAATGTCCATGCCATAATATTACAGTTTTGTGCATCTCTTTATATTTTCTTCTTGTTCATCAGTAATTATAAGTCTACTTGTCACAAAATTTGTTACTAGATAACTACAGAACTTTTGTTTCAATAATTGCCTTTTAAACAAGTTTAATTTAATTTTAAATATTACAAATAAGGAAGCTCTTTCAGTGTAAAAATAATTATCAAAATGTAAACTTTTATTCATAAAAAGATAGAATTTTATACATTTGATGAATCAATAATGAAAAGATATATTTAACGAATGATTATTGAAAATGATAATAAAAGATTAATGCTCAAAGGTGATGTGCGGTATGTTACAAACACAATATTCAAAAAGGTTCAGGATATGAATGTGTAGAATGTGATATAGAACTTTTTGCAGCTTCTTGCTTTTTACAATTATCATACAAAAAGCAGGCTTTCACAGGAAGATGTGCAATTTCACGCCTTTATATGACCACGCAAGTTACATTTTGCTATGACGGTTTGACCGCGGCTAATTCAAAAAACATTTTAGAAATGCGCTAAATAAAAAATATTCTAAAAAAAGTGAAATTAATTACATTAAAACTTCTTAAAAAATGTTTTTATATTAGCGAAATGATTTTAAATAAAGTAACAATTTACTGAAAAAAAGTTTTGTTTTTTAAATATAATTGACAGTTGTATATATTTTTTTAATTTAAAACATATAAATTGTTTAAGTGTTCATTTCTAAAATAAATCTTATTAAAAAATAAAAAATTGTTTTGTTTTTATAAAGGATGACATTCTACGACTACGAAAGTCTGTTTAACAAATTTAAATATAAGAATGATTAAAGTTAATGCATTTAAAAAGATAAAAAAAAAAATTTGTTAAAAAAAAAAGTTTAAGAAAACCATTACAATTTAATAAGTTTGATCTTAAATGCTCGAAACGTTTTTAATGAAGTAAAAAAAAAACACTTCTAATTAATTTAAAAAAAAGTATTAATAAAATATTTTTTTATTTTATTTATATAACTATGTATTTTTTATGAGAAATATTTAACTTTTGAACATATTAAATAAATAAAAAATATATAAAAATGTTGAAACAAAGATTGAAAAGGTTATTTAATGCGTAAATTAAATAGACTAAGCATTTTAGTTTGATGAGTTTTGTTTTAGTTGCGTTATATATATTTATTTTTTTGTGTTTTTGCTTTAACTAAGTATTTATTTTATTTTCTCTTTCGTTAATATTTATTATTTTTTTAAATTTTTTTTTCAGTTAAGTTTAGGTAAGTTTTTGTAGCACCTTTTTAAATTTTAAAAATACGCCATGGTCAAATTGTTGAAATGTGAAATCGCACATCTTCCTGTGAAAGCCTGAAAAGTGAATATTAGTGAATGCATTCTTAAAATTTTATGTTATGTAGTATGATTTATATATTCTGAAACTTGAATAATAACATTTTGTAGTTGTTATTAATGTTAAAAATAGTAAAAAAACATTTTTTATTCTATTAGTTGAAAAACACGATGAATATAAAAAAAGCTGGACTAATCGCGATCGTTTAAAAAAAAAAACAAGAGTCAAGAGCTTCTTAAATATGTTATTAAAACCATTTAAACTAAACCATTTAAGAACAAAGCTGTATACAACAGGTGTGGTAAATACTATGGGTGTAAGTAAGTACTATGGGTGTAGTAGGTGCTCTTCCACTACACTACTACTACATAATATTTAGTAGACGAAAACAAAGTATAAAAAAGTATAAAACAACATATACTGTTGCTGTGTTTTAGGAGAAAAATGTTTCTCCAAATAATTTTTTTTGTATTTTAAATTTCTTTGTAATTTTTTTTTTCTCTTTGTACAACTAATTTTAATTCAACTGATTTATTTTCAGATCTTAGTTTTGATGATTTGAAAAGACTCTGTCTTTAGCTTATCTTTAAGATATCAGTGTCACAAAATCAGGTTTGAATCCTTTACATCAGGTGCTAAACATAAACTAATTGATGACTCTTTATTCAACCATCACTTAAGTTTATCTACTTCTTGCTAAAAAAAACTCCTTTAAATTTTATTTCTTATCAAACTGAATGCCTCTTTATCGATTACCTTACATTGTTGTTACTGGTGACTATCACTCATTATTATCTTTGCATACTTCTTATATTGTATAAAAAAGTAGGAATGATGATGTGCTAACCGAAAAATAGTTACTAATTTTTTAAGTATATGCTATTGCCTCCTAATTCATTCAAAATATATATACTAACAATCTTAGAAAATTGTGAACTTTTTACAGATAATACAAAATAATAGGAAAAACTAATCGATTCTGAGAATCAATAATTTCAATAAAATGAAATTAAAGAGGTCTACAAAGATTGTAAGGTCTAGAAAAATCAGGTTAATACTGTTAAGAAATGTTGTGTAAAATACTTTGTGCAAAATAAATTTAAAAATTCCATCACTTTATTACATAATCTTCCTCTGCCGATATTGTTAAATTTGGTGATTTTAATGCTCATCACACTGAATGGCTTGGCTCTAACACTACTGATCCTGTGGACACTAAAGCTCATAACTTCTGTATTTCTCTTACTTAGATGTGACTCTTTTTTTTGTGAGTGACTCGTTTTCCAGAAAATCCCAATCCCTTATTTTTACTCCTTGACTTGTGTCTTGTCTCTCAACCTAGTTTGTGTTCAGTTTCTCCTCATTTTCTTTTGGATGGTTTTTAAACCTCATTCCCAAGTTTTTGTGCAGCTTCTGCTTCTAATCACAATAGTAAACAACTGGGGCCCCGGTTACAAATGAGACTTTTGTAAATCCAGACCCAACAAAATTGTAAGATTTAGCAGGGGCTAGAAATAAATTTATAATTCTTTATATATTATAAATTTATACTTATATTTATTATTTATTAAATTCTGGCATATATTTATGCCAGTCTTTAATAATTATGGACAGATACAGTAAAAGGATGCAACTTGTTGAATAAGAAGCCAAGCAAGAATGAGTTTTGGTTTATTGTAATAGAGATGATAGCTCGTTTGAGCATTGACCAAGATTAGAGAAACAGCATAAAAGAGGAAGGCTAAAGCCTGCTGCTGCTGCTGATGATGATAATGATGATGATGATGATGATGATGATGATGATGATGATGATGATGATGATGATGATGATGATGATGATGACAATAATGATGATGGTGATGATCAGTGCTCAAATTAAGCGTATCGCGATTGCTTTTCATACCTTCACATTTAGTTTTTTCTTAAAAAAAAAATTTTTGCGATTTGTTTTTGTTTGTATGTCTATAGGTTTTTGTGAATAATTAAGTTGATGAAAATAATTTTGTAATTTATTAATTAGAACAATTTCATATATTTGCTTAGTTTTATTTTAAACACATTTTATGTAAGGTTATAAACTGTATATATCAGCAACAAAACAACGTCACGAAGTTATTTTACATTGTTTTACAGTCGTTTTACACAAGCTATTTATATTTTTAAAAAACTTTGCAATTTGTTTTATTTTTGTTTTATAGCTTTTTACAATAACAATTAAATACTCTTTAAAAATAAATTAAACAGTAACTGCAACTTAAACTTTAAATAGGAAGGGGGTGGGGGATTTTTTTTTGCAATTAGATTAATTTGCGTTAATTTAAGCCCTAATGATAATGATGATAATGATTATGGCAATGATGGTGATGATGATGATGATAATGACGATTATGATAACTATGATTATAATCATGATGATGATCATGATGACGACCATGATAATGTTTATTACTAATAATTTTCATTGTTGTTGATATTATTGATAAATGGCAACACTCTTAATGAGTCTTCTACTTCTACTACATCTTCTTGTACCCGCAATTGAGACAATCTTCCATCACAGCTCTCGTGCTTATAACTTTACTCTTTGTTTTCTAATAACTCACAACTTAAATAGTGGTTGCTTGCAGCCACGTTGGGAGTGAAATAGTTAAAAAAAAAGCTGCAAGAATTATTATAAAAGATATTTAGTTCAAAAGCAGTTAATTAAAAGGAAGAAGTGGCCATAATTGAATTACATATATGTGTATTTACTGGATAATTAAGGAATAGAGTAGAGTCAAGTAGAACTACCTATGAGAAAACCCTTATAAAAAAGTAAAAATTGACTTGATATGAAAATAAGATTTATTTTTAAATTATTTTTTAAAATACAAAAAATAATATTATACTATAACTAATTTTATTTTTAACTAAAAGAGAAAGCATTACTTCTGTTTACATTACTTCTGTTTGTCTCATCAGTGAGTCAATGTTCACTGTGGCTTTGAGATTTATATTTAAAAACTAAAAAAATGATATTTTTATTTTTAGGAGAGGTTTCATTATGCTGTTTTCGCACTGAAACCTCTCCTAAAAATAAAATTGCACCAAAAAAAGCTGTCAATAACATCAAAAATTTGATCAACTCGACAATGAGAATGGTTTGCAACTGTTCATTATTAGCTGCATATAGTAAGCTTGATAAACATCATACTGAACATGGTATACTGAACTGAATAGATGAACCAATTACCATCTAATATAATCATGCACAGTCGTGATTCTATCAGATTGTCATTGGTCACCGTTTGACTTTAGAGCTCCATAGTTTTTGCTTGA